CAGTCAACAAAGTCAATATAAGGGAAAAGGTAAAAGCTGATCCCTTTTGACCGAAGCACTCTTTCTGATAGAACCTCTACCATCAGAAGTAATTTTCCTTCCCAGCCAAAGTCCTCTCTCTAGATCAATGCACTTGTTGCCTTCAAAGCGGATTTGTAGCGGATTTATAACAATGATTGATATAATGTTTGCATTAATGGATGTCAGAAATGTCAGCGTAGGATGTAGGTTGACTTATCCCTTCTTTGTCAATGTAATTAATTTGTGGTAGAAAGTGATGTGTGGCTCTGATTAACAGGATGAGGTCTCGTGGTTTTGATCTAACGGTAACAATGTCGGTCCAAACTTTATAAATAGCAACTCCTATAACTTTTTAAGGGATTTGAAAAAATATATGCAATATTACGCACTTTAATTCTCAGTAAAATCCCTTTCTTATTCATTCCACATTTACCTACTTGAGTTTAAATTATTTTGGTTTTGGTGAGAAGGATTGTGATTGTTTATTTGCAATTGTTCTCGATCATACCGTCGGTGCTTAAACATATTCGTCTCGTGTTATAAAGCATCTCCTATGTCCGTTGACCCTCCGATTGACCATTCCGATTGAAAACTGTCAGAATTTGCTAGCGTGTACATGAGTGAGCCCGACATCTGTTGTGCATGTGCCATTGCAAAAAAGGGGTCAACAAAAGACTAACAAATTTATTCGACCCGTTCATTCAAATGCAAGTCAAATTCATTTTAACATCCAATGGTGCACATTAAACTAGGAACTATATTATCTTGTTACATCCAAAAGTTTGAACTGTCAAAACGATAATTCGCAAGAGTAGCCAGACCGACTACTATGACTCTAGTGATTGTTAGAGTAAAGTCAAAAGCTATGGTATAGCAATCTTTCTGAGCAAGCTTGTGGCTCAGTGATAGAGTGATCGACTATTAACTGATTTGTCTAGGATTTAGTAGTGGAAGAAGAGTTAAAGTGGGTGAAGTAGGAACTCCATATGGGCCATCTGGGTGTGTGGGGGGTGGGGCGGGGGGTGGTAGTCTTTGCTTGAGATCTCTTTGTTGCAGAAGAGAATAGATCTAAAAAAATAGAAAGGATCGATTCACCTTATTAAGGTTCAAGGCGACACGGTTAATTTGGCAGTACACAATAATCCATGCTTAATTTATTAAGGCAAAAAGGGCTCATTTCATCAAATCTGATTTGCCCAAAATTGTTAAGTAATTCCTCACCCTTCAAAGTCTTACAAACATAAAAGCTACATTTGAGCACAATGAGAGGTTATCATACAGTCAATGATGGAACATTCAAGGTACAAACTTCAATTGCCTATCAACAATTTATATTTTCAGACACATTCTATTTTTTTTGGTGCAAATGCACTTTCCTTTCTTCCTTTTTTGGTGGGTGGGTGGGTAGGGGCCGGGGTTGACTTGTATGAACATTTCTAAACATCTTTTTAAATAGTATCAACTTGAGAATTTTTTTTTTTTTGACAATTTAATTTATTTGTCACAACCCGAGTTTTGCGGCGAGTCAAGTCTAGTGGCCTATCTTAACTTGTAGATCCATAGCTAGGTGGGTCAGACCATCCGATCTACGCACTAAATGTTAGCCAATTTGAGCTATGTGATAACCTAACACGACAGGTCATGTTGAATTTAGATGGTCCAACTCATTTTGACACCACACAGTTAGTGTTGGTGAAAAGATACTGGTTGAATTCAGTAGACAAATTGAATTAAAGAACATCAAAGACATATCAACCGTCCATTATAAAACACTATTGACTTGAATAATTACAAAATTTTAATGGTTTTTAGATCCTTGTGATATACGATTCCAAATATTATAAATACCAAGACTTGGTGTACAATATAGCAACCATCTTCTCCAAAGCAAAATATACATATAAAACTTTTGTTCTCTTCTATATCGTTATGGCCTACAATCAACAAATCTACATCTTTGTTCTCCTTCTTGCAGCAATTGCCTGCCTTGAAATTGCATTTTCTGAGGGAAGGCAACTAAATGCATTCAAGAAACAGGAACAGACTTTCCCACAAAATAAAGGTAATAATGAATTCGGTTTAAGCAGTACTTCAGATGAAGTTGATAATTATGTAAACGATTTTCGACCTACAAATCCCGGAAATAGTCCCGGAATTGGCCACCGTTTTGAAGCAGAAAACGACGTTGCTCAGCCGAAGACACCATCTGTTGCATCGGGGAAAAATACAGAAGATTTTCGACCCACAAAACCCGGTCACAGTCCTGGTGTTGGCCATTCTTTGGCAGGACCAAATGCTTAGATGAACATGCATTACTTGAATTCTAAATGCATTGCCACTTCTCTTGTATGATTGGGAAGTAATATTAGAATAAAATTAGATAATATAATGAACAAGATGTAACTTCTTTTTCGTTATTGTCGTGTGACATCCAATACTTGCCACCGAATACTATATTCTGCATTCTCGTCTTTAGATCATTGTTACTAAACTTATTAAATAATTTTCTGCTCTGGAATCCATGTAATATGTAATAGCCAATGCTCTATCTAGCAATAATATCATTGTCTTTAATCTCTCTCTCTCTCTCTCTCTCTCTC